ATACACACACACACACACCAACAAAGGAAAAGACGAGAATGTGTCAGAAGGCGGTAACAGGACAGAGACCCAATTGACAAACTAGCCCTATTACACGTTGAATATAATGTTTTCAAAGCCAATACTGGTTCCACCATTTGTTTGGAAGGTAAATTAACGGTTATGGCTAAACGGCTTCCTGAGGCATCAATGTAAAATGACCATGACATAACGATTTTAGATTTTTACAATATATATGATAATTAACCTTAAATACTGAATTAGAGTTGCGCATTAAAAAAAATTTAATTGCTTCTTTTTTGCAATAATTTTCTGGATATTTTTATTTTGTATTGTGGCTTTGGGGCAACTCATTGTTGAGACATTTTGTTGGGGTACTGAATTGTAAATATGGTCCACAGTGTTAGTTTACTTGAAAAGGTATAACATATAATACTAAACATTAAATAAATATATATATATAGAATATTTATATACAGAATATCAGGAAAGGCAGACGTAACTATATCTATCTTAGAACGTTTCCTGATTGAGGTTTATTTTAAATATTTCAAAGTCGAGTCCCAAAACAAATCCCTGAAGGAAACCACAGTTGCTTCAACCCAACGTTTTGAAAAAAATCAGAAGAAATAAATGAATTTATTGCGCCAAAGCATACCTTGAATACTGGAAAAGAGTCCATTTCTCTTCTCAGCTCCTCTGTGTGGATTTGGGAACGATAGTTCCTCACTATTGCAGCCATAAAAACCATAGAAGATCAGAATGAGAATACAAAAGTAAAAAACAGTAGCCATGTTTTTCTCTCAGAGTTCAGTCGGTCTTCCTCGGTGCTTTATGACGCGGCAAGTGGTTTAATTTCTTCCTTTCATGCAATTAAGCCTTCAAGACAATGAGCCAAGAACGGAAAAAGACTTCAACATTGATTTCCTTTCCTGTGATAAATTATGTGACTTTCAAGTTGTTGTAGAATATGAGTAAAATCTGTTTCGAAGATGCGTTTAATGACGAGTCTTTAGAATTGTCACATAGGACCTTTGCCTGCTAATGAGTAGGTAAATGAATCTGTGTGTTTTACGTCCTCGACAAACCGTCAGTGAAAAGAATGTTGACTTTTGTCTTTTGCATAAGACCCTGATTCTCTAAGTCACCAGGTAGATCTTAATATGAAAGCAAATTAGTATATGAAAAGTCTTTTTATATCAGTAGAATGTTCTCTCAATTATCTCAAAAATCTGAATATTTACCCATTTCCAGCTTGGTCTTTCCTTTCTCCCAACGTTTTGTGAAATTAATATTAGAGCAAACATTCCAAAAAACAGCGAAGTTTACAAAAGAAAATATTAGCATCTTAATCGTCATGAAATAACACGGGGAAAATCTGGGGAGCTTAGCCTGCGTTCCATCCGGCCTTTTCTTTCAAATTGGGGAGCTCTGAGCTGGGAAAGTTCTGGAGATGACGAGAAGCGTGGGGTCGCGGTAAAAAGCTGAAACGGAAACAGCGGAAAGCTGAAAGAGCTGAAATAGCTGAAAAGTGCAGAAATGTCATAAATTCAACCTATTTCTGTACTTGAATTACTTTCATCACTCTTATTACCATGAAAGAGCTTTGATTTTTTCCTTTATATACTATGTCGAGGAAAGCCCCCCCGCAAAAAAAACAAAACAACAACAACAACAGCAATAAATCTAGCTGATTCCGAGAAGCGCTTGACAACTGTCTTCGCAGTAGACGAGCGACGTTATGTTGACCAATGAGCAGCCCGTTGCTAAGAAAAGGTGCTTGGTCTTCCAGAAAAAGTAACTTGATCAACGTCACAATATAAAGTTGGAGTTCTTAGTGGCTGTTCAGTATCAAAGAAATATTTTCAAAGCTGACCATTCACCGAGCGGTCCGGCAATGAAGCTCTTAATTCTAGCCAGGATCAAAATCTGAGCAGCACGATAGAAGGCTTAACAAGAAATCTCTGTGCATAGACTTTATTTAATTTTATTTATCTTCTAATACTATGTAGAAAWTTTATTTTTTGGTAAAGAGAATGCGTGACATTGACCTTGCTGTTCGGTCCATTGGCTGGTATCTCTGCAATTAACATATTTTTCATTTTTTAAATATTTTTGTTTAGTTTGACATTATTTATATTATATCATCTTTCATAATATTTGTCTACTGATTATTATCTATGATAATAAGAAGTTCTGCGCTTTTCTGCACTTTTCAGCGATTTCAGCTATTTCACAGGCAGCCCAAACAAGGTTCCTGTGTATGGTTTATAAGGGAATGTATGGGAGTTATGATTAAGGTCATGAAAATAAAATGTTTCCCTCAACAATTTGCCTCAAAAAAAATAAAAATAAAAATAAAATAAAATAAAATAAAATAAATGATAAATAAATAATAAATTATTTAGGTAGAGAAGAGCGGATTTTGAAAAAACCCACTAAACGGCTTCAAATCGCGCTGAAACTTCGCCAAAAGACTGAACAAAGTAAAAGCAACGACTGCAACAAGTTTTGAAGCAAATTGTTGAGTGAAACATTTTATTTTCGTAACTTTATCMTAACTCCCATACATTCCCTTATAAACCATACACAGGAACCTTGTTTGGGCTGCCTGTGGCTATTTCAGCTCTTTACCGCGACCCGAGAAGCGTGCGCGTTTTCTTTCCCGTCAAAACCACAGGAACTTCATCTGAGGTAGCTTTGATAGCTTTGCGACGTTATCCGGCCCAGGTGGAAAATTTCGGGATTTCTCTGACATTTTTGACCATTTTCTTATTGCTTGAGTTTTCGATGCGATAACTCGTTAAATTGCGAGCTGCACGCTGAAATTTGATTTTTGTTTTGTTTTTTTTTGTTTTAGTAATCATGATCAGTCGGTACTTTTTATATTTAACGACTGCCAGCAGTCGGAAAACCCTTCGAAATGTTGGAGTTCGTAAAAAATTTTTAAACCGCATAAAAATAATTCATAAAATGGAAATATTCTTTGTACAAGGCGAAGTCTGGCACCTCTTGCCGTCCCACCTTTCCCCTTTTTCCTCACGCTACTGCTTCTACTTTAATTTTAAATTGACGCATTTCATTTTCTTTTAAAATGGAAGTTAATGACTGCGAAACGAAGCCTAAAGGCCTGTTCACACGGGCGATTTTTGCGGAGATTTGAGGTGCGATTTTTTCGGCGATGGTATTTCCACTGCGACGCAAAATCGAGCGTGTGAACACCCGGCGATTTTACTGCGATTCTAGAAATTCACGTCGCCGCGAAATCGCAGCTGTTTCGAACATGTTCAAATTTCACTGTGATTTGGCTGCGATTTTCATGAAAAAAAGGGCCAAAACAAGTATTAGGGGTCCCCCCAAAGCAGATTTGTATGTTATGTTACGTCACAAAAAACATGGCGACCAAAAAGATACAAGCAGAAAAAAGAGCAAAAAGGCAATGGAAAAGTGAAGAAGAAGAAGTTCTGAGTACGACTGTCTTTTCATCACAAGTTTGGAAGAATTCAAGAGGACGGACAAAAAACAAGCAGCACGAGATGCAATAAGAAAGGTGTTGGCTATTGCAGAGTCAGATTCATCAGAAGTTCTGAGTACGACTGTCTTTTCATCACAAATTTGGAAGAATTCAAGAGGACGGACAAAAAACAAGCAGCACGAGATGCAATAAGAAAGGTGTTGGCTATTGCAGAGTCAGATTCATCAGTATTCATAGCAAATCAAGGCCCCAAAACACTGACATTTCACGGCTTAAACAAAATTTAAAAAAAAAATTAAACAAAATTTTACTACGCATGCGTCAAGGTTACGACCGCTGCTACAACTGATTGCGTTTTATAAATCGCCGAGAAAATCGCAGCATAACTACAGAAAGAATCGCAGTAAAATTGCCGGGTGTTCACACGCGCGATTTTGCGTCGCCGTGAATATCGCCGAAAAAATCGCACCTCAAATCGCCGCAAAAATCGCCCGTGTGAACGGGCCTTTAGGCTTGTTGATGATTTTTACTCTTACCTTTGTAATTTCTGACAGTTGACCCTGATAATATTCTGATCCATACATTCCTTCATGACAAATCCCTAATGCTTATGTATCACGAGTAGGGACTGGGTCATGGTTACCGTTGTCCAAAAGAGCTATCGTATGCAATGACAGACACGACAGACTGAAGTTCAAATAGCAGAAATACCATATCCGTACAAAATATAGGCAACATTTTCATTGTATTATTCGCCTACTGAAGACAGTCTTCAATAATGTCAACCAGGACATTTCTCTCCTCTGTTACTATCAATTATTTTGGCTTCACAATGGCGCTGGATTATTCCATCGTGCTGTTAACTATCGAAGAACTATGGACCTCTCTTGGAGGAAGTCTAATGCTCTATGGCTTCGTGTTTGGTATTTATGCCCTTAGTCAGTCTGTTATAACGCCATTGCTTGGCTATATATCCGACGTCCGAGGCATAAAGTTCACAATGGTCTTATCATTGGTTTTGAATGCCCTTGGGAATATTTTGTACGGCTTTTCATTCATCTCAGACTCTGCAAACATGATTTTGATTGGCAGATTTGTGTCTGGTTTAGGCGCTGGATCTTTAGTGTTGGGAGTCGTATACTTGACGAACGTTTCTTCGCGAGATATGCGAGGGAAAGTGATTGCAGGTTTTAAGCTTTCTCAAGCGATAGGATACTTCGGTGGACCTATGATAGGAATGATATTTGTGACAATGAAGTCGCCACAAAAGACTTCAAGTACGGCGACCAAAATATTTAACATGTACACACTCCCAGCATGGGTTGCCCTTGGGAATGTCATCTTCATCGTCATTCCAGCCGTAAAATATTGCTTCAAGAACCCGTTATCCCCTCACATGGCTCTCAAATATAACCACAAAGAAGCTAAAGAATTAGTTATTCACACAATTTTCCTAATACCGGTTTTATTTCTGGCTACGATGTGTTACTGGATCATTGCCAGTGACTTATTCACTCTAGCATTTGGACAATATCATTTGATAACTTCGAACAAAGATTTATGGAAAGTTTATGTTTCGGCTGGCGTGACTTTAGTCATGTCGTGTTTGTTTATTCGTGTCACAATCCATAGAATCCGAAAAATGTCGTCAGAAATTTTCACGGTTCTTGGGCTTTTGATTGTCAGCATTGGGCTTATGCTTTTCGCAGATTTTGGGATACAAGACTATCGCGTCTCGACAGCGTTCTATTACAGCGGAGTTGCCCTGATCGTTTCCGGTGGAGCATCGTTTTTCACGGGTATAGGTACGTATTACTCACGCAAGGTAACAGATTTAAGTCATCAAGCCAGGAATCGAAGAGGGTTTTTCCTCGGATTGTTCACTTTTGCAGAAAGTTTTGGTCGATTCGTGGGCCCAGCGACGTCCTCACTGATTCTATTTGTCGAGGAAAAACCGAAGAAAACGACGACACTGTTCAAGTGCGACCTAATTAATCTCATACCAGACGGATGTCACGTAAGGAACTTAAGCGTGACAATAGCATTCCTTTGTACAGTTCTTGTACTCTTGTCCGCTTGTTTTGTCGTCTATCATCGCCGTTACGGGAAATGTCAAGTTGATATTTCGCTTTTAAGTCTAGAGGAACTGCCAATGCCTCAGCCTGGCGAGGGAAGGTTGTCGTTCAGAGAGGATAATTATGTATCAGATGATTTGAATGCTGAGCTCAACATCGAATTGAATCCACCAAGGTCAAGAAGTGTCAGTCATGTCTCCAACAATTCTATGAAAAACTCACAAAGTAGTTCACTTAATAATAATACTCTATGAAGCTCTATTCCTCATACCAGTAGCTGGCTGAAGATAACAAGGTAACAGTTCAAAGGAAATCCCTTGGGATCCTTTTGGAAAAACATTAACCCCTTGCACGAAATCCCTACCTGGGGTTCAAAATAAAGTGAATTATTAGTGTGGTTTTCAATATTCTGCAAACTTGTTAGTCACAGGCTGCACGCTGAAATTTGATTGTTGGCTGCTGTTGATTAAAAAATAATCAGTCAGTACCCTTTATGTTGTTGGCTGGTGGCGGTGAAAAACCAATTTTGCAACAAGCCATTAGGATGTCTGAGTTCGCTGAATATGGAAGACCGCAGTAACATTGAAAAAGGTTTCAATCCTCAAGAGAAGGGAGTCCTTTTTTAGACAACCAGATTGAGAGTCAGTATGAGAGTTTTAAACCCCATACACTAATTACTGTAACCTGTGAAATAGTTTGTAGACTAATGTTTTCTTTTGTGTGTATTTGAGTATTATATGTTACACATGGGTTTAATAATGGCACTTACTTATCCCTTAGCACTAGATCACCTTGTTATAGACATTGGGCCTTTCATTACCAATTAGTATTCATCAGATCAATGCTAACAGTTAGACAATAGTTAAAAATGTAATGTGAAAGCCCAATACTTAATTATACCTTACCACTAGGGTCACCTTGCTATAGAGCATTTTCACTCGCATAAAAAGGCAGCCATATTGGTGTACCAAACAATAGAAACTTTCTGCACAGTTTTCATGCATAAAAATAGAGTTAAATTCCCAGAGGATAGAAAACGTATTGTTTTGGTACACCAACATGGCCTCTGTGATGTCATGTGAAAACTCTTTATAGACATTGGGCCTTGGTTGAACAACGATGCATTCATATATCAATATGGTGCTCCAAAGACAATTTTAGGTGATAAGTGGTCTACATATACATAAGATGCATAAGAGTGATATATATTGGTCATAAGAACATTGAATTCCAAACAGTGAGGTAACCAATAGTCCCCTTCACAGTTCCCTGTGCCATCTTGAAAGGTAGCCGTGACTTTGCATCGAAGTGAGACGAACAGTGAGCTTGCAATGATAGAGACCTTTTTTAAACACCTTGGACAATTATTCACAGGTCTCTATCATTGCAAGCTCACCGTTTGTCTCCCTTCGATGCAAAGGCATGGCTACCTTTCAAGATGGCGCAGGGAACTGTGAAGGGGACTATTGAAAGTATTCCCATATTGGATAGCATTATTTTACTTGGGAACAAATCATTTATGAGGGGGGGAAGGGTAGTGCAGATGGACAGGTGGTAGACTTATAGTCTGAGTAGTTTCATGGCAGCCATAATAATGGCCTGCATAGCAGGCATTTGGAGGTAGTTTTCCACTGCTTTTGTATTGTTTTTTGTATCTACAATCTATCTATTGTTTTGTACCTTCCTGTGGAAGCGCTCAAGATTGAGGGTGATGTTAAAAAACCGAAACTTTTTGCTCTCGCCCCAGTTTTACATGGACATGACAAACGATAACAACAAACGCAGATCGCCTGCTATGCAGGCTACCATAAGAATAATAAGCACAACAATATTAATAATCAACTTGATTTTATGAGGGTAGCACATAACAGCTTAAACTGACAAGCCTGTGTCCCTCCATGAAAAAAATTCTTTACCAAAGGCCATTCAGCAGGGAAGGGCTGGAGGGAGGGAGTACATGGTACGTAGAGTTACATATAACATGATTGTTAATTATTAATGGGGCACAATATGTATAGGGAGGTCAAAAGAGGACTATTACCTTTGGGGGGGGGGGGGGGGGGGGGGGGGAACATTAAGAAAAATGTAAAACATGATTGACAGGTGATAGTTTATTGGAGGTGGGGAACACTCTCCAGGGGAGGGAGGGAGGGAGACATACATCAAATTACATAAAATATGGTTGGGGAGCAGAAATGTTTTTAGTGAATCAAAGGAATGACCAATACTCCTACCTCTAAAAGGTTACTGCTCTCTAAACCATGGTCAATTTATCCATTCTTTAATCAAGAATTCAATATACAAAAGAGATATTTGCTTTATATTTTCAGTTTCAATTTAGTAAAATTCAAATAATTATAATAATTAATCGCAAAGAGAATCCTGCAATGTAAAATGAGTAAATACAAAGTTTATAGGACAAAGTGTCTAGTTGGAGTCAGTGAAGGGCAAAGAGTAACCTGGTAGGCTCCACGACACTAACAGTAATCTGTAGGTATAGAATGTAGTTCCTCTTCATATTTGAACGTATTTGTTGAAGAGACAAAACTTTACCTATATTACAGACTTGTTTAGTAAGCGTAAAGGGTGGGCGAATCATTAAACAGATCGAGTTTCGGTTTGCGTTCGGTTTCCCAAGAACTGGACGATTTGGAGGGCTTTCTGAATCTTGAACCGGATCGTGGTTCCGAATGCGTTTGAATCTTGAACCGGACCTTGATTCCGAACATCATCGCGGAGCAAAATAAAGAACCATGTTTAGTTTCCAAAAAAAGGTATTCCAAATTTAGAGCTAACATCAAAAGATGAAGAATAAATATATTTTTGTAGTATAAGTTCATTCTATTTGTTTTAATCGAGCACAAGTATATCAAGATATAGAAGCATTAATGGTGTGCGCATGCTATACTCCACGTGCAGTGCAGACGTCGCCTCTCTTCTCCAACTCGGAGAGAAAACAAACGCATTCACGCACTCCCATCACGCACTCCTATCACGCACTCCCATTATGCACTCCCATCACGCACTCCCATCACGCACTCCCATCGAGTAAGATGTCTGCGCACCATGTAGAACAAATGCGCACACTATGTCACATGCGCAATGTTGACACCAATAGCATTTAAGGAATGCAGTTCTATGAGATGCACAGTGCTATTATACAACTACCGGACTGAGCACTGCTCGAATTGAAGCCCAGCGTTTGAACATTTTAGTTCCTGTATTTTGATTTGTCAATTTTGGTGAACGTCATTTCCGGACATGTTAAAAGTTACGTATTTCCAGAATGAATGTATTGAATGTATTTTGATTTGTCAATTTTGGTGAACGTCATTTCCGGACATTTTAAGAGTTACTTATTTCAGACTGAATGTACTTTATATCTTGAAGTTAATATTCCATCATCAGAGAGTTGAACTATTCTAGGACGTTCTAATCCACAATAATATACTAATAGGTTTTTTATGACATGATGAATGATCATGCAATTTATCTAAATTTTTCTCGTGTTTTTCCCCCTGCTACTATATCTCTCTGTGTCTTTGTTTTTTCTACATATTCTCTTACGATTTCAAACCCTCGCCACATATAGTTGCGCAATATTGGATCATCATGGACAGTCTTTATAAAGAGTTTGTTTTATCCCTCCCTGCATCCACTCAACCATTTCCACCCATTCTGTACCAGGATTAGGTACCTCTCTTTTAAAACCTCTCCTCTCATATCTGATTATCTAAGACCTCTTTTCCCAGAAACATGTAATCGCAAAAATCGTACTGACTTTTTGCAATTGCATGTTTGTCTTCAGTTTATTTTATTTTTTTATAAAGAGTTTGTTTTATCCCTCCCTGCATCCACTCAGCCATTTCCACCCATTCTATACCAGGATTAGGTACTTCTGTTTTCAAACCCTCCTCTGATAATAGCTGATTATCTAAGACCTCTTTTCCCAGAAAATATGCTATTGCAGAAAGCATACTGAGGAGAAGAAATTAAAAGAGCCGAACGTTTCTGAAATGAAAACTGAGGCCTCCATGATGCTATCATTTTTGCATCCCTCAAATCATTCAACTTCCAAGTCAGTAAGCAATCCCAAGATAGGATATGAGAACTTTTACTTTCCTTCCTAGTTTATTAAAATCAAACAATTCTCCAGATATTTGCGACCCAATTTATACGATCGATTGAAAAGAAAAGAAATTAATCAGGCGATCACCGATGTTGACCAAGCGGTCATAGATGGCAAAGACTACCATGTAAATACATCTATCATCACGATTATAATCTAGATTGGTGTTTCATATCAACTTTAATTTTCCGATAGAACGACAGAATGTTTTTATAACATTTGACAAGTCCTACAAATAGTTGCGGTTCTGAGTCAACACTAGTTATTGAAAGTGCAATAAAGAACGGTGGTAATAAACTTAGGTCAACAAAGACCAAACTTAATTTGTGGCACTGACGAAAACATGATTATCAAGACCGAGGGACTTGATTTAGAAATTAAATATGAAATATGATTGATTCGTTTGTGTTTTGTTTGTGGAAGTCATTTTTAATTTTAATAACGGTATAAGAAATTGAGTGATGTTTTGTTATACAAATACTATAAGCTCTAGCTAGTGATTTTGGTTTCCGACGAATTTTAATTAAGATAAAATCAAGTGTACGTACTAGCTTATTAATGTAAGTAATCTAAGTGTTTTTGACGTCGAATTGACGCAACGAGCTCCGCGGTTTACAGTAATCTTTGGCGTAGATTGAATGAAAACCTTCTAGTATCGCGATCTTCATAAATTAAACTTAAGTCGCGGATTTAGGATTTCTTTGCGCAACTTTTGCTTCGCGCGCCAGTCATATGCTCGTAGAGGGAGAGGATGGGGGCTATGCAAAACACTCACAGCAGACGCATATACCGTGGATGATTTGTAATTTGCATACGTCCAGCCTCTCTTACTGGCGGAACAGAAAATCCAAACTCCAGCTTGGCGGAAGTTTGGCGGGAAAATGGAAGGTTCAATTCGCTCGCAGTAAGATCGAAATGAAAAAGAAAGAAAAATGATCAGCATATAGGCACGTATGTATATGCGGGTGGGGGAATATGTGTCGGTATGGGATGATGAGTATGTGATGTATAAGTATGTATATGAGTACAAGTACAGGGGTGGGTGTAAGTATAGATATAGAGATAGAAGTTAGGGGGATTAGTATGGTGTGAGAGTGGGTGTGTGTGATTAAGAGTGCTGGTGTGGTTACTGGAATACAGTCAACTCTCGTTTTGCGGACACCCCGATAATAAATCCTTGGCGAAAAAAATGACAAAGAAATGGCCGTGTGATTAACCCTCGCGATGGCTGAGGCTTGATATTATCATGTGGTAAGGATAGAAGTAAAGTAACCGAGTCTAAGAATAAGAGAATAGTTATGTCAGTATAGAAACAGGAATGGACCAGCATAACATTAAACTGCTTCTACCATTATACTGAAATGAAGTGAACAAAATGATCTTTATTCAACCAGGAGAAGTCTATCAAAAACTATTCATCTATTATTGCACGAGTAAACCCTGTTAAGATCTGTTCAGTGCAGAATGCTTTGGATAGTAAAAATATCTGTTGTAGGAGTATTACCATTAATTTTAAGGTTGTGAAAAAATTCA